GGTCCGGGCACCCCCAGAAGAACGCCTTCGACGAGGCGCAGCCGACGGACACAACCCCCGCCCCCGAAAATCATCCACGCACTGTGGAGAAGCTGCAAGAACTGTCCCCGCCCCCCAACCCTGAGGTCCGACGTTGCGGCACACATGGCAGCGTCGCGCGAAAGCACGACCGGAGCCCCAGGCCCCATCTGCACGATCGAGCTGGATCGATCCGTAATGATAAAGCAGGGCTAGGATTGGGATAAATCGCTCCAGAGCGTTCCGGAGCGCTCTCAGAGCGTTCCGGAACGCTCTGGAGCGGCCGCGGCGCCCAATACATCCTCCAAACCCGTCGATTCTCAGAGATTTCGAGTTATCCCGATCCGATTTTGTCCCGATCGTCGTGTCGTTTTAGATGACCCAGGGGGCACGAGACAAAGGCAGCATCGCTGGCTGCGAAACAGCTTTAACGCCCGTACCACTGCGCCCCTTGGAAACTTCGGGCGGGTCATCACTCGGCCCTCCAACGGCCGCTCGGCGGGAAGATCCGGGCCCCCCCCCCCGAGGAGCTGCTCCCCCCCGAGCAGCTGCTCCCCCCCGAGCAGCTGCTCCCCCCCGAGCAGCTGCCCCCCCCGAGCAGCTGCCCCCGAGCAGCTGCCCCCGACGAGTTGCCCCCGACGAGTTGCCCCCGAGCAGCTGCCCCCGAGCAGCTGCCCCCGAGGAGTTGCCCCCGAGGAGCCCCCGCCGGCGGCGCCGGCGCCGGGCTGGCAGGCCCGGGCCGGGCCTCGCCGGGCGCGCCCGCCGGCCGCTGCTGCGGCGGCGGCGGGCGGGCGGGGCCGGCGGCTCGAGGGCGCTGCCGCCCCTCCTGAGTTTTTTTCTCTTTGTTTGGGGGGCGACGGCGACGACGACGACGACGACGACGACGACGACGGCGACGACGACGACGACGACGACGACGACGGCGACGACGGCGACGGCGACGACGACGACGACGACGACCCCGACGGCGACGGCGACGGCGACGGCGGCGACGAGGAGCGGGGTCCCTCCCCCTCTCGGGCGCTGCCGCCCCTGCTGCCTTCTTTTCCTTTGGGGGGGGGAGGCCCAGACGTGCTCGCCTCGTGGCCAAAAACATGCCGGAAGGCTTCGGGGCCGTTTTGGGGGCCTCTGGAGGCCCCCGCCGGGACCTGGAGCAGTGAACAGAACGACTTGGGATGAACAGCTGGTCCCTGGGGAAGGGTAAGGACTTCCTGGGGCCGCGCGCTGAAAACATCAAGACGTCGCATGTCTGGGGCGGGAGGGGATGATCGCGTCAAGCCTACACGTACACGATTGCCATCACCAAGCGCCCACGGATACCTAGCCATCCCCAACGTGCCATCCCAAACGCACATGACTGCCATCAAACGCTCACAATTGGCATCCTGCTGGGATGACCGCGACGTAACACATGGTTCATACGTGGCTTATCGGCGGCGAGCGATGGGGGAAATGAGAAGGAGAAGGCCTTCTCGGAAGGCGACGGGCCTTCTCTGAAGCCCTCGCGCCTTCTGCGAATGTCTTCCTGTCTTCGGAGAAGGCTCAGCAAACTTCTCGGAAGGCAGGGGGACTTCCGAACTTTCTGAGGAGGCCTTTTCCTTCTCCCCTCCCCCCCTCGCTCGCCGCCGAGGTCAACTCTGCCCTTCCCGGACCCCACCGGATCAGAGAAACAACCACGACGGACGGCTCCTGATAGTTTTCAGCCTCCGGGGGCGCTCGCCCAGCCCCGGGGCCGTCAACAAAACGACTCGGGACGAGAAACCGGTCAAGGGAGTGGGTCAAGACCTCTGGAGGATCCTCCTTCCGAAAAGATAATGCCAAACGGGGTAATGGTGAGTGGCTTCAGATTTGAACTAACTTTGCTGCGCCCACTTCACAGAGCAGTCGAAACTCCCAAGCCGCCCGTAACCCACTTAGGAGTCATATTACGCCAAATACGACCCACCTCAGCATCCACGTGTACCCCCCCCATCCCCTTAGCGAGCCCACGCGGTCATCCCAGTGGAGACGCAATGTTCGAACGTTTTCCAAGAGGTTGGTCGATACTTTTCGGGACCGTCAACACACACAACACGGGATGAGAAACCAGTCCCTGGAGCGGGGTCCAGACCTCTGGGGGCACACGTAATTAAAACTCGTATCTGGAAGAAGAAAAACAACATTAAGATGAACTGTTGGCGCTCCTCGCGGATTTCTTGGATCTGCGCGGGTCCCCCCTCCCTGGCGCGCGGAGCGCGCCAGGGGCGGCGCTGGGAGCGCCGCCGTGGGGGTCCCAGCGCGGATCCCGAAAATCTGGGCGGAGCGCCATCCGCGCGCAAAGATCGTTCCCTGTGGGGCTCGAGCCTGCGAGCTGTGGCTCGTAGGACCACTGCTTCAACCACTGAACCAGGGGAGCACCTGCTGCGCGGGGGCCCCCCTGACGCACGGCGGCGAGCGCCAGGCCTGGAGCGGCGCGCGATCCAGCATGGCGCCACGATTCCGTTCGTTCCGGGGGCGGGGAAATTCACCAAACCTTGGCGCCCGTGCTGCTAGATACCGCGTATTTCTGCCAGCAGCTAGTGAGTGCCGCGCCAAGCTGACCGCCTCCTCGGCGAATCAGAGCGCAATCCAAAATCCCCCTCCTTGCAGGAGAGGACCCCCCCTGGGGGAGCTTTGGCCCGCCTCGGCCCCCCCGCCCTGGCCGTGGCCTTCGAGACGCCCAAAGTTGCCCCAAGACGGCCCAAGAGGCCTTCGAGACGCCCCGAGAGAGCCCCGAGAGCCTTCCCAAGAGGGCCCCGAGAGGCGGGAATCAGTGATTCCCCCAAAGGGTTTTTCAAGGATTTGTGGGTCCTCGACTTTTCGAGCTCCCGACGCTCTAAGACGGCCCAAGATGCCCCCAGGACCTCCACAAGACGTCCGAAGAGGTCCCCAGGGGGGCCACAACACGGCCCAAGAGTACCCCAAGACGGCCCCAGAGACACCAAAGACGGCCGAAAAGGGCCCAAAGACAGCCCCAAGAAAAGGTCCACAAGGGGGAACACGATCCGAAAATCCTAGTCTTCCGCCCCACGAGGCCCCCAGAAGGCTCCAAGGGGGCCCCCAGAGGCCCCAGGAGACCCCCAAGAGGCTCCGAAGACGCCCCCCCAAAGCTCCGAAACGGTCTTGGAGAGGCTTCCAAACGGTCCCCAAGAGGCCCCCGAGCGGCCTCCCGCGGCACCCCAACATCCTAGAGGCCTGTGACCCACAACCCATGCACGGTGGCAGGATGTGCCGAAGTCCATTAGTTCCGCCGCCCCCCTGTTGATGTATTACAAGGGTGCCTGGCGTGCCGAATCCTATACGGCGTGGTTTTGGCTCGATGTCCAAGAAAAGCTCCCCGCGAGGCTTCTGCCCAGCGCGCCGGCCACCCGGAAGGGACAGCAAAGCACCTCAACGTGCACAACAAACATTCAGAAGGTAATTCAAGATGGTTTCCAAGAGGGCAAGATGGCTTCCAAGATCGCTCGATGTCCAAGATGGACTCTAAGACGGCCCACGAGGGTCCAAGATACCTCCAAGTCCGCCCAAGAGGCCTCCAGGACGGCCCTCAAGAGGGCTTCCAGGAGGGCCCGAAGAGGCCCGAATCATTGATACGCCTTAGGTTCTTTTGACGGATGTTGGCCTTTTCCTCTTTTCGGCCTTCCGACGGCTCAAGACAGTCCAGGAGACCCCAACAATGCCCCCAAGATGGCCCCAAAGGCCTCCAAGACGGCCCAAGAAGCCTCCAAGAAGCCCAAGATGGCTTCCAAAACAGCCCTGGAGCACACCAAGAAGGCCCCAAGCCGGTCCAGAGAGGCCTCCGAGACAGCTTCCGAAGGGCCAGGGACGCCCGAAGGTGGGCAAAGAGGCTCCCGAGAAGCCCCCGAAAGACCCCAAGAGGCCCAAGGAGGCAACCAAGTTGTCTACAAGAGGCTCCCAGGAAGCTCCCAGGAGGCACAAAGAGTGCCCCCGGAGGCGCCCAAGATGCTCCCTCCCAGTCCCCCAGAGGCACCCAAGATGCTCCTTCCTCCTCCTCTCCTCCTCCTCCTGCTCTTCCCCGCCATCCTCCCTCAAGTGCTCCCCGAAGGGCTTCCACAACGGCTGGGGAAACACATGGTCCGAGAGCTTGGCAGAGCTCTTGCCACAACGCTCGGCCGCGTGGGCGATTCCAAAAGGCAGGGGGCGGCGGTGATTCGCCGCGGGCGCCTTCGATCAGTATGCTGGGGTGATGCCGATCCCGGGGCGGCGCGCTCGGGAACAGCGCCCCCAAACATCCCCCCTCGAACAGAAAGCAGCGATGCTACACTCAGAAAGGAACGAACACACACACAGACACAATGAATCCGCGATTCCCCAGAAAGCATGGGAAAATATGGGAAGGGGGGGGGGGGAAGGCAAAAACCCTGAACATCTGGGAAAGTATGGGGGATATGCTTATTTGTGTATCTACTTGTGTGCCCTTGGGCCCCTTCGTACGCTTTGTTCCTATACCCGGCGTTCTCCCCCGGGGTCGGGGCCCGGGGCCATCACGGATCGATCCTGCGGAAGCGGTGCGGGAGCGAAAGGTGGGGCCCGGGGCCCTGGTCAGACTTCGTGTCTCGCGGTGCTGCCCTGGCTGCCGCACCGCCGCATCTCGGGACAGGCCGTGGCGTTCCCGCCGCCTTCGGCCCGCGGGGGCCCTCGCCGGAGCCCGGGGCCGCCTCGTGGAGCGACTCGCGAGGCGAGGCGGGGCGAGGAGCGACGCGCGAGGTTGGGCGAGGCCGTTGAAGGAAGAGCTGTGCAACAAACGTTTGGGGGCCACTTCACATGACCCACTTCGCTCCCCGGCCGTAGTATTGAACAAGCGGTCCCTGAGAAGCGGGGCCGGAAACACCTTGAGCCCACGTTGTCTGGAGCGCAGTGCCTGCCCATGTTAAGGCGGGGGGGTGGAGGGAGGAATTTCGTTGTTTCAAATTCGTGTGCCATTGTTGCAAAAATGTTTTGTCCTTCAACCCGGAGTCGAAGCTACCAGGGACCACGTGTAGGAGAATCACTCCAGGGCACTGTGAAGCGCTTGCCTTCTCCACGGCCTTGGAACCTGGGAACCCGGAGCCTCACAGACGCACGCCCCTTGCAGATGCGCCTCAGCGGCGCCAGCCTGGAGACCCGACGTTGCACAGAACATGCAACATCGCGAGAGATCCCTAGACTTTTTCTTTCTGCTGCACTTGTCGAGCGGGATCGACCTGTGATGGTCTTATAGGGCTCGCCGAGGGTGGGCGAAAACCTCGGGTGCGAAACGAAAACGCAACGCCTGCATCCCGGGGAGACGGCTCGTGACTCGAACCAGATGATCAACCAGATTGAAGGGGCCCCAGGACACACAAATAAATACACACAAATAAATATGTTCCCCATATTTCCCCATATTTCCTGTGTTTTTGTCTTCCCCCCCCCACTTCCCATATTTTCCCATATTTTCCTGGGAATCGACGATTCATTGTGTCTGTGTGTGTTTTCCCCTCCTGACAGATGCCTCGAGCGTACACGTAGAACGGCCACTACCACCGAACTTGGCACGCATGCTTCCGGGGACGGTCGCTGCCCGGGTGGGTGGGGAGGCTGGGGCCCCGGGCAACGGTCACGCTTGGGCGGGGTGCGGGCCACAGCTTGCGCGCGAGCACCAGCATGTCGGGGGGGGGGAAGGTGGTGGGGGGGGGGGGGGGGGGGGCACGCCTCCCACATACTTACAATGGCTACCGCTACCCCAAAAGGGGGGGGGGGGGGGCACGGCTCCCACTTACTTACAATGGCTACCGCTACCCCAGAAGGGGGGGGGCCCGACAGCGACCGCTGCGCCGCACCAAAGGATCAACAAACAGGAACCTCACCGAGCACCCACTTCTGAGGCCGTGGCGCTCTGGTCGGCTACGCGCAAGAGTAAACTCGGCGGTGGGCAAACCTCCCTTTAATAAACCTCCCCTTAGTGAAAACGGCCTGGGACCGAAACCGACGGACCTGGACCCGCAAAAATGACGGCCGCGACGCCCTCTCGCGAACCGAAAACGGCCAATTCCTTAATCGACGTGTCAGGGTAGGAGGTCTGTCCACCCCAGATAAACCCAGGGTGAGTAACGTCTTGGTGCGCGGCGTCACGGGGGACGCGGGGTGGCCAAACCTGGACGCGCGGGTCGCTGCTACCACTCCGCGCCCAGCGATCGGGGGACCCCATGGGATCCGCACCAACGATCACTTCGGCGAGAGGTCACTCTTACGCCTGGCGAATATATACCTCACGTCACGTTCGCGGAACAAGAGAACGTACCAAGAGTTGCCGGAGACGTACAGACCCCCTTCTCAACGCGTGCTGATCACTCAAAGGAACGCTCCATACCAAAGAACATATTGCAAGGACACTCTTCTCCGCTGGGCCCCCCAGGAGACAATGACAGTGGCACCAACTGCGCACTGCGAACATCCTCAAGGAAGCCGCGAGTTCTCGGCTGGATGTGCGTACTCCCCCAATACGCTGGGCCTCCCAGGAGACAACGAAAAAGGCGACCGTTGCCCAATTGGCAATGCCAATTGGCAATGCCCCAGGGAGCCGCGAAGTCTCGGCTAGATGTACATACTCCCCCACTCCGCTGGGCTTCCAAGGAGCCCGCGAAGATGGGGATAGTTGCGCAGTTCGCAGCCAACCAGGGAGCTGCGAGGTCTCGGCTGCATGCGCGTACTCCCCTCCTCCGCCGCGCCTCCCAGGAGCCCACGAACGTGGCGCAAATGGCGCAGTTCGCAGTCACCCAGGGAGCTGCAATGTCCCTGCTGGGTCCGCGTACTCGCCTCCTCCGCCGTGCCTCCCAGTTGCGCAAATCGCAGCCCCAAGGCAGCTGCGAAGGTCTCGGCTGGGTCCGCGTACTCCCCTACTTCGCCGTGCCTCCCAGGAGCCCGCGAAAAGGGCGACACTTGCGCAATTCGCAGCCACCCGAGGAGCTGCGAAATCTCGGCTGGATCCGTGTAGTCTCCCCTGCTCTGCCGTGCCTCCGGGGAGCCACGAAATTGGCGACGATGTGCAGCTCGCAGCCTCCCAGGCCACTGCGAGGTCTTGGCTGGATCCGTGTTGCTCCCCTGCTCCGCCGTGCCTCCCAGGAGCCCACGAGAATGGTGACAGGTGCGCAGTTCGCAGGCCTCCCGGTGGGCAGCGCAGGAGGAGGCAGGAAGGAGGAGGCGGGCGGGGGGAGGTGTGCGACCGCAGTGCACTATTCAAAACGAGAGCCCAGCACAGGAGGGTTGGGATTAAATGCGAACTAGCTGTTATCTAACACTGAACCGATGTAATCAAACAAGGCAGTCTGCGCCAGAACTGTTCTGAAAACGTCTCGTGCAAATCACAGGACTTGATTCGAACATGCTGTGGTGGGCCTGTAGGCAAGCCAGGACGCTTCGCCACTGCTTGACATGCGGGCTCCCCAGAAGCCTCGAGCCTCTCCCAGAGGACCAGCTTCTCATCCCGAGTGGTCGTGTGACGGTCCAGGGGCCCGGCAAAAGGGCCCCCCCCAAAGCCGAAAACAGACCTGATGTTGTTCGCGACGCGAACGCATCTGGGGAACCCGCGAAACCCTCGTCGCACTCCCCCCTCGCGCCCCCGCTGCGGCCTCCTCCGAGGACGAGCTCGTGGACTCCGTGTCGCTCTCCGCCGTGTCGGAGCGCCCGCCCAGGGGGGAGATGGGGCAACCTTGTCAGGGAACGACGTCCTGCAAGCCCCCGCCAGGCATCCTTCGCCCCAAGCCCCGCCTTCCTTCCGCATAGATTTAGGTCGGGCCTGTCCCCACACAGGGGGATTTTGGACAGAACAAAATACTCAACACACATACTCCAAACAATGTCAAACATTGAAAAAAAAACGTCAACCCGACATTTGTTTGACTAGTTTTGAAAATGCCTCCTGTAGAGGGACAGGCCCGACGTAAGCATAGATGTGGTGAGGGCGCTGGATAAAAAAGAACCATCGGCCAAGGAACCCTGGGCCTGGAAGCCGGTGGAGCTCCAATCGTGGATTGGCCTTGGGAAGGGCAGCCGTCCTCATCAGATAACGAATCCTCCTCGGTCTGAAGCCTCATGGGCACATTCCCCAACGCTCGCTCCCACCGTAACAGGTACCACTCGAGCAAAAAGAAGAAGGCATGAAAGTAAACTATCGAAGCTCCGCGCAAATTTCTTGGACCTGTGCTGGGCCTCTCCTAGCGGCGCCTCCAGCGCCGCCCCTGGCGCGCTCCGCGCGCCCGGGAGGCGGGGTCCAGCGCCGATCCAAGAAATCCGCGATGAGGCTCCGTAAGATTGTGCTCGGAATCAACTCTCGCCCTCGCCGGAGGTCGCGTTTTTTCCCCCCGGCCTCCCCCCCCACCTCCTCCTCCCCCTGTGCCCTCCTTGGCCACTGGGCTTCGCTGAATGGTGAAAACAAATGTTTATGTTGCTTTGTTCTTCGACCCAAACACCTCTCCGTCACATATTGGCGGCTCGCACAAGGGGGTAGGGGGAGGGGGGAAGGCTTCTTAGAAGGAGGCTGCGTCTTAGAAGGCGCTGGCCCTACATCTTCAGAGAAGGCCCGCGCCTTCTAAGAAGCAGGGTTGCTTCTAAGAAGCCTTCCCCCCTCCCCCTACCCCCCTCTGCGCGTGGCCGAGAATAGAAGAAGCAACTGCGCAAGCGTACGTAAACCCTTGACGGCCCGCGCGGAGCTGTTGGATCGGCACTGGCCCTCCCTAGAGTTAGGTCGAGCATGTCCCCCTACAGGGGGATTTTGGGCGAAAAATTCAAAAGCATAGTATGTAAAAACAAGATGCAAGAAATATTGTACTACACAATTAAAGAATCATCTCCTGACTTTTTTTACTATTTCTGAATATTCCTCCTGTAGCGGGACAGGCCCGACTTAGCCCTAGAGCTCGCGGAGCGCGCCAGGGGCAGCGCCGAAGGCGCCGCCGGGGGGGTCCAGCGCCGATCCGAGAAATCCGGGCCGAGCTCCGACAGTCTATACATATGGCCGGCTTCGGACCCCAAAAGCGTTCTCACCTCCTGGGGGAGCATTCTTTCCTTCCGCCACCTTCCGCCGCCCTTCCGACGGCTTCCGCCCGCGGAGGCGTTCTCGTTTTACTTCCGCCGACCTTCCGCCGCCCTTCCGCCGCCTTCCGCGGCGGAAGAGATGACGACTCCCTCGATCCTCGACGGCAAGGCCAATTCTGGAACGCCCCACATGCAGTCTGCTCTTCTTCGAGCCCCATGGTTGGATGAAGCCGCCATCGCGCTCACAGAAGAGGGCTCAGAGTGGGGAACGCTGAGCTTTTCTGGCCGCGGCGAGCGTGTGCGCCAGGGGTGGCGCCAGAGTCGCCGCCAGGGGGGCTCAGCGCCGATCTGCGCTATCCGCCCGGCTTTCCGAAACTGCTGGTCTATGAGATTATTTCTTCTGCGAGCGGGGGCCCCCCTGAACTCCGACGTTGCGAACAAAACAACACTCTGCGAAGAATCACGACAAGAACCCTGGTCCCCATCGTCGAGCGGCCTCTACCGAGCCGGATCGATCCGTGAGGGTCCTGGGGCCCGAAGCGAGGGAACCTCGCCCGCGTAGGGAAAACCGCAACGCCCGGAGGGAGTCCCCGGACCTCCGGAACGGAGGCAACAAACATCCGCCATGCGAGCACAGCTGATTTTGAAAGAAACAGAAGTCGGCGGCGAGCAAGGTGGGGAAGCGAGAAGGAGAAGGTCTTCTCAGAAGGCCGCAGGACTTCTCAGAACTCCTCGCGCCTTCCGAGAAGCTTCTTGCGTCTTCGGGGACGGCTTAGACAACTTTTCAGACGGCCAGGGAACTTCCGAGCCCTCTGAGAAGGCCTCTTCCTTCTCACTTCTCCCCCTCGCTTGCCGCCGAAAGAGACTAGGGGGAAGGGGACGGGAGGGGAAGGAGGAGGGAACCGACACTGCATGTTTCTTCACCATGTCGACCCTCGGAGGTCTCGAC